TTTAAGTCCCCAATATAGTACGGCAGCCTTATAACATGGACCCTAAAAGGGACCCTGATTTAGAGAACTACCCACATTTTTCAGATCTGAATCCGTGTTGAATCGGGGGCTCATGGCTTAGCGCGTTAAACTTTAGGCTGCTAGGGTCTGCCTAAGCCCCCAAGATAGGGTAAAATAATGGCCCAACACTTATCAAAGGCTACGATTCTACATACTTTTGGGGTCCTTTGATCGAGGTATTGGGAGTTTTGGGGTTTAGAGTTTGGGATCTCTGTGTTCAGGGTGAGCTTGTTGTCGCATACCTTACCTTAACCCCAAAGAACCTACCGTAACCTACCCTTTTAGGGACTTGTAGTTACTTATGTAAGGAAGCCATAAGAATTAGCCCTAGAATGAAGGTTTCTTAGGGTCCAGGTAGACCCTTAGCCTAAACCGTCGAGCCTGGTGCAAAGACTACAGCCCCACGGGATTAAGACCACTCAGACCGTAACTCTTTATAGTAAAGCCCAAAAAGTTGGAAACCGGATTAAGGACAAAACGTGCTGGGATCCCATATATATATATATATATATATTACTCGTAAGGATTGAGGCTATTGAGTTTCCAACTCTTGGGCTTCTACTATAGGGTTTAGGGGTTTCAGGGATGAAGGGTTTAGGGTTGAGGATTCCGTTTCGCGGGTGTTTAGGGTTTAGGGGTTGGGATTTCGCAATTAAACCCCAAGCCCTAAACCTCCCAAACACCAAACCCAACTCTTTTTCTGCTTCGAGGCGCTTCGCGCCGGATGAGAATCACCCATCCAGGAGGTCTGGCGGCAGGGGTTACCCAGACCACCGGGAGGATCCAAAAAATAGATCCCTAAAAGGGGTTCCTATAAAGTGCCCTTTAGTAGTTTGGGTCCCAAATTAGGCGAGCTACTTTTTGGATCCTTCCGGGGGTCTGGGTAGGGATGTGTCGTTTTAGGCTTCAGGATTGGAGGGTTTAGGGTTGTTTGGGCTTTTCGGTTCTAGCCCGGGTTCAGGGTTTGGGGGTTTAGGGGCTTTGAGTTTAGGGTTTAGGGTTTAGGGGTTAGGGTTTAGGAGTTAATCGAGGGGTTTAGGTTTAGGGTTTAGGGTTTAGGGTTTAGGGTTTAGGGTTTAGGGTTTAGGGTTGCAAGTACCAAGTTGGGGTCATGTATTTACTTACAAGTGTAACTCAGTTTCCTTACTTATCTGCCTAGTCCCATGATCCTCCAAGACGCCAAGAAGAGTGTTCACCTGGACATACCTGGACGGTCATTGAACTCAGCAATCAGTAGGGTCGGTAGGCTGCTAGGTAACCCTTGTGAGGTCATCCTGCACATATGTATGAACTTGTGTACATACACACACACACACACCAGTCATGTGTGTGTGTATACATATTTATATAT